TACTAGACACCAAAATATGCAACTGGAAACTTACTGAACTTATTTCACACCTCCCAGACCTCCACCTTCTCTGGTGATATATACATTTATGTGGTAATGTGTACTGTCATAACTTTAGCCATTAAAAAAAACCCACTCTGGCAGACTAAAATGGGAATCTTCATGGTTGCTTGCCAAACTATGAAAGCTGAAGTTTTTTAGGCTGTAATTAGATAGAACCCATTACCATAACAAGCTGCAAAGGGCAGTATTCAAAAGGCACTAACATTCATACTGAGTAACACCAAGAATATAAAGAATTATAACAACAGCAAAAATATTAAAACTTTTGTTTCAAACCAAAGCCTTTCTCTGTAAGATGAGGATGACATATAGTATCACACACATTGCTCTACCTGCCTGATCCAGCTTTGTTACAGCCTTCTCTGGAGTGCCCTGAACAAAATCCATTCAGAAATCAACATTCTAATCCAGAAGAACTTCACATAATTCTAATATACCAGCAGATTTCAAACTATATGCTTCAGATCATTAGGCACATCAACACGAGCACTTTGTCAAGAAATACGTAGTGCTTCCCACTGTTATAATTGCAGAAACTGTTTAAGAAAGCAATTACCCAGAGGAGTCTTATCCTCATCCTGCCCACACCTTTAGCTCCAGAAAATGACATTCCTTAATATCATCAGCATTCCCTTTCTGGCATGCAACACTGCTGAGTAACTACAGGACATTATAAAAAAACCCAAACACAAATGTTCAAACAAGCCACCTACTTTCATTTGAGAGCAAAACTAGAAAAGAATCTAAGATTATTAGATCAGATCTCGAAACAGAAGGGTGCTCCTAATAAAATGCAGTTTTGGCAGACTTCTGACAGATGGCTCTCCTGCTGTTCCAATATAAGACGTTGTATTTACTTACAGTCAAAGCACAAATAAGCATTCATAGATACCTCATAGGACTCAAACTCTCTCTTGCATCTTTTGAAAAGTCAAAACCTACATCAACTTTAGAACAAATTTACTAAAAAATTGAACCTCCTAATTTTATCTCAACGGAATCTATCTATTTAAAAATAATCAGTAAAAATGTGCTACATTTCTAGAACTTCTAAGTACATGGACCAAAATGTGTATTATACTCACCAAAAATATTTCTGCTTACCCAGAGTATTTAAACCAATGTATATTTTTCTTCCTCTAAATGGCACATACCCGTAAAGCTAGCAACATGAGTTTGCACAGGTTCTATGTGCATACTAGAACACACATATTTCATACATATTTCAATAGCAAGTCTTTTGGGCTGCAATGACTTCAGTACCGCAGCAGTAATCAGCTTTGTACCCATCTTTTAATACAATTCTGTATTCCACACTTTCAGCTGAGAGAATTATGATCATGAAGAAACAAACAAGTTAGAACACAGTCCAGGCAAGAAATGTGAAAGTTCAACGTTTCAAACATTCCTCCCTGCCTACTCAGCAGTATCTAGAGGTGGTGAACAAAGTGACAGATATTTAAGTCTTAGCAACTTTTAGCAGAAGTTTTCCATTTTAACTGTTCTTAACCGATCAAGTACTTCTGCACAATTCCAAACCTGTTTGACGACGTAGCACAAAGCAACAATCCCTGTACCCTGCTTTATTAATAACCAATATTATAATCTACAAGATTGCACTGTTTCCCTTTTCCACCCAGTCTTTAAAGTGATACGTAAGTTGCACAGTTGAGCACTCAAACCAGGAAAAGTCTGAATGACTGTGGTCCACAGAGGCTTTATTCAGCCTCTGTGCACAGATCTTCTGATAGGGTCTTTAATTACCTAAAGTAATTAAAGATTCCACCAGAGTCCCCACCATTCAAGACAGACGATGGATAAGCAGGGTGTGGAACTAATGAAGCCATGTGTAAGAATTTGTTTCATTTGTTACAGATTTTAGGAAAATGTTGACATAACAGGACAGAAATGAAACCATAAGCTTCTACCTCACAAAACTGAACACTGGGTTTTTTAAATTTTGATGGATTTTTTTATTCCCCCATTAGCATTCTAGTTGGTTTAAGCACACCCCTTTCACAGGTGTTTGCTAACTCTAATGTTCCTCATTTTCTAGGTGACTGGTCTGAGAAACACAGGCAAAAAAACACCAACATGCAAAAAAGCTCAATACTTGGCCACTCTTGATATTGGCTAGAAGCACATCCTGAAGTATTTAACTACTCAAAATGCAAAATTACTTGGAATGAGACACAGTAGACACTTCATATCGGTTAAGACAAATCAACAGTCTTGACATCACCTGGGCTTTAACTCCTTAGCAGTAAATAAGGTATAAAAATCCCCCTCCAGTATCCTATGAAGACTCTACTGCTACAGCCCTGGACACCACAGAAAACCCCAGAATTGGTTGCAGAAGTGTTTTAAAAATTGGCACCAGAGAAAGTACATAACTACATACCCAACATAAAGTTTAACCATACCTCCTTTAATAAAAAACACCTTCAGACCCATACAAGACATGAAACACAAAATACTCAGAAAATACACTTGTAGAAGAAGAGACTCCCATCAGTATGGACACACATATGGAGCCAAATTAGAGATGTCATAGGCAACCCTAAAACTGGCCTATCCCAGTTGGAAATCCTGGTTGCTACAATCTTTATAGTTAAATATGTGTATCTAAATATATTTAGATAATATTCTAATAATATTAATTTTCTATAAATAAAATTAAATGAGAGATTTAACACCAAACCAATTTTCAAAGGAACTGTCATTGACTGCTTGGTCCCCAAGGATTCTTTCTCTCCTTAGTCGAACAAAAATGATTTTGTTTTCAATACAATCTCTAGAGTAGCACTTCAAATACAACTAACACATTACAGACTTCTATTAATTAAATGCTTCACAGATGTTTTGAGCTCTCACATCCCTTCCCTTGCTTTTACAGACATTACTGTAGAACATGCACAAAGATTCCTGAACAGGCTGCATTTTAAAACATGAATACTCCGACCTCTGGTGTTAACTTCTCTTTGTACTATCACCCAGAAGAACAAAACTGCCTTTTTAAAACCATGATCTAGAAGGAGTTTATTTGAAACATAATTCATGGACTTCGGGGGCAGGCTAATTGCAGATGAGTATCTAGCACCTTTTGTTAATTTGAAGTAAACAGGTTTAATTTGCAAAAACGAACTGGGTTGTGAATGCAGAGACATCTTTTCCAAAACTGGTATTCTCTGAAGTGATTATAAATTCAAATTAGCTTTCTTTTCTCTAGTATGTCATCTTTTTGGTTTGTGCCTGTTTACTGATATCACAGGTCATGCTATTTTATTTTGCTTCTATTTTCAGGTACTTGCAGTTTGGTGCTTGTTCTGGTTCCCAGTGATTTAGCTGCATAACAATTAAAAGCCAACTATACTCAAACTGCCCTAAGCGAAGCGACCATCAATGGTGTCACTCATTTCCCTTCCAAGGTGTCCGATGAGGAAACAAGCTACAAATTAGTCCTACCTCAGGAAAGCAGTTCACCACATAATTAGAAGAGCTGTATCATGCATACGTATGTTCTGTACTCTCTCACAACTTTTAGCTAGAGAAGTATTTGTGAACTCTTGCATTCTTACACAATACAACAACCTCCTCCACTAGATGGCTCTGACACTCACTAGGTGTATCACAGCTGGTGGAACACTTGCACATGTAAAAGAATTAATTAAAATAAGTACACCAGCAAGCAGTTACTCAGAAAAGTCACTAAGAAAATGGCTTACTTGAATACTTAGGCAACAGACAAAAAAGAAGAGATTGTTTTGAAATAAGTTGATACAAATGCACACAACTCCCTTCTTACATTCAGCAGAATTATCTTCAGAATCAAAAAATCAAAAACTTTCAGCAGAATGTACGTGCTTCATATCCCAGATGTGACTACACAGTGACAATCTAAAAATTCAAGTTATTCTGTTGTATAATAAAAAAGCTGTACAAGTAAACCAGAGCTGAGGTCTAGATGGCACAGAACACTGCTGGTCAAAGATATGGCCATATTAAAACATGTCCTTCACCTGAGATACTTCACCCTGCATACAGCTGATAGCCATAGGACTCAAATCTGCCTTTATGAACGTATACTACGCTGTGTAGACTTAGCCAGCATAAGTAACAACTGATGAAAGGTCTTCTAGAACTCATCATATCTTGCAAATGGTATGCAGAGACATCCAGCAACCTGAAGTATCTTTCAAACAAAATAATTGACTTTACTTCTCTTTAACATAGTTGAATACATTTAGCTGACGGCATCCATTTTTTTTGAATGAGACCAACAAGTACATATTCAAGACTGGAAAATAAGAAGCTATTCCTTGATAAAAGCTACTGATATATACAGAAAAACAGTATCAACTCTACTATAGTCAATTTTCTTTCACTGATTACTGTCTGGGTTTTGGGGGGGTTTGGTAGGTTTTTTTCCCCTCATTAGATCAGTCTGCAGAACAAGTGGAAAGTGCAAATTTCATGTTCTGAGCTGCAGCTACTTTATGAGCAGGTATCTTAATCTTTCTCCTCTGCATTCTGACTTCCTTTGTCACTCTATTCACAATGATTCCTACTGCAAAGTCTGCAGGCAACTGATTATATTTTACTTCACCTACAATATCTACACATTGTGTAAACTGCATGATCTGCATACACAGATTTTTAACTAACATACACTCTTTAAATAAGGAAACATTGCAAATACGTACATTTTCCTTTTGAGGAAGTAAATCTTTCAGTGCAAGGCTAGTTAAATCAAATATTTCTATTTAACAGATTTATACACTAGTGTTTCAGTGCTCCTAAATAAAACTTGGGAGATAATAAATGTTCAGTGACATATGAGAACTACTCTGGCAAGTTCAACAGTTTTCCCTTTCCCCTTTAACGCTTAGCACTCCTTCACTACTGTGATTTTGCTTAAAGTAAGAGTAGATAAACACTTCTCCAGTTATCTGTTCTTTTAATGTTTCTTCTTTGGTCATCCATGTTTATCTTCATCTGTTATATTCAAAATGTTAGGGAAGAGCTTTCAGTACTGATTCTAAAATCAGACTGAATATTTAGCACTGAACAAACCTAAAACAGAATACACAAAAGTGTTTCAAAGAGTCTCTTTTCCAAGAAGAATGTTCAACAAAATTCCCACTTTCTCCATTTCTCTTCTTCTGGTCCCACTTGTAAATATTATTTGACAATGAATTACAACTTTCCCTTTTAAAACATATTTTTCTTTTATTTTGCATTTGCTATCAGTTTGGTAATTTTCAACTATCAAGTATTTTCACTTAATTCACTTCAAGTATTTCACTATGACTGCAAAAGGAGAACAAGAACTGCTCTGTGTTAATAATGTGATTTTGAGCAGGTTTAGAGGCTAAAAATTTCCAAAAATTAATACCCCTGTGCTAAAATAACAACTTAATCCTACAAACCTGTTTAAATTTTCCTCTGATTTTTTCCAGATCTTCTTGCAGCTTATCATAAGTGGGGTCTTCGTATGGGAATTTCTGAATCATCCTTATTAAGGAATCCAGAGCCCTTATCTTTTTGCTATAAAAGAAAGATCAAAACAGAAAATACAATGAGCCTACTGCAGAAAATCTTCCAATCCATCAATATGAAAATTATACCAACACTTAGATATAATTCAGAGTGTAGGACCCAGCCCTCCATCCTTCTTTACTTCAACTTCTTCCATTTAGCTCAGAGAGTATGTATTTGATAGATATTTAAGCCATAATCAGAAATTAAGCTGTGGCACAACTGACAAAGTCAAGGTTTCCCTTTTAACTTAACTGCCAAAAGTTGAGAAATACTCAAGAATCTTCAGAAATACTGGTTATATAACTGTACAAACTAACAAAATTGATAAAAAAGCTCACCAGAACACATCAGAATAGCTGACATACGGTGGCAATTCTGTCAGATAAATTAATCAGCAATGGACAGGAAAAATATTCAAAGAAAAGAATGAAAGTCACAGAAAAATGCAGGTTGGAAGGGAAAGCTGAAGACATCTTGTCCACTTTCTGCAGAAGCTGACGTAACTTCAAAGCTAGATAAGGCTGCTCAGGGCTACCTCCAAGCGTATTTTGAAAAGCTACAAAGATGGGACTTTTAAAGTCTCTTTGGACGACAACTTGTCCCAGTGCTCAGCTGCTTGCACTGGAAAGGGTCTTCTCCTTATGCCCCATGAGAACTTGTTTCAAATGGTGAAAGTTGCCTATTGTCTTTTTACTGTACACTTCTGCAAGGAACATGCCTCCACCTTACACAGAATTTCCCTGTCTGTGGTACCACTAAGTATCTCCCTTGTTTTCTTTGCTGCAAGCTGAAGAAATCAAGGTCCCTTATCCTCTTTTTGGTATCACATGCTCCAGCATATGATACCACCCTAGGGCCCTCTGCTCACCTTTCTTCTAGTTATTCAACATTTCTTTTGTACTGAGGAAGAGGCAAAGCTGGACACACCATAATTTGCAACAGTATCAAAGGACAGTAATTCTTTTTTTTTAACCTTACCTGTTCTTTTCATCTGTGCATTTCTGGAGCAGACACCGCCATGTCAGTGCAAACCCAAGGTAGCAGCCAATCTGAATGTCAGGAGGGAAAAAATACATATGTGATGTAAATAGTGTGTATATACACAGTATATATAGTCAAACAGAAATAAAGCACTACATTGTATCCCTTTCTTCAGCAAACATATCACTGGATACACTGGATTCCTGTTTCTATGCTAAGGAGTTCAATAAATTAGGGTGGAATAAATGAGGGCTACCTGTGTTACAGACACTGAAAACTTCTTGTAAGGATCTGTTCAGTAACAGAGGATAATAAATTATAAGCTTGGAAGTGTTCAATAATCATTGGCAGTGTTCAAGGCCAGGCTGGATGTGGCTTGGAGCAACCTGGTCTAGTGGCAGGTGTCCCTGCCCATGGCAGGGGGGTTGGAAGTGGATGAGATTGAAGATCCGTTCCAAGCCAAACCAGCCTGTGATTCTATGAAACCTGAGCTGGACATACAAGACAAGTTAAGGTGGTTCACCAGTAGTCTCCAGTCCTTTCATTTCTAGGAAGGCTTACTGATTCAGTGTGTGTGTGCCAACACACAGGAATGACCCCCATGTTCTAAACAATAACAGTGCCACAACCAATCAACTCTCTCACTATTAGAAATAACAAACAGTGTAATGGAGACACCAGAACTGCCCCCTGATGGTTCTCCATCCAAGGTATCTCAAAGTTCCAAGTTTTTCCCTAACGATGAGCCACAGGAGACAGTACAGGGGTGCCTTCAGCCACAGTTTTGGGTTACAGAAATAATTGTACAGTCCATCTTAATTTTTCTTTTTGCAAGCTTGTTTGAATTTATTTCTTCTTTATCGTCCCTCTCAAAACAAAAAATAATCAAAATCCTATCTAGAAAGTAAGTTCGGAAAATATAAACCCACCTATTTAACCATTCAAATCAAAACACCACCTTCAAACTAATTTTATGGGGCCCCTTGGACTCATACAAAGCAGTGTGACATAGCAGGTGTCAAACTAGCAAAATATGGGGCTTCATCTAACAGTTTCTGCAGTACAGTAATTTTCTAATGATAAAACATTGTGATTCTGAAGTAGTTTCCCATTTACCTCAGACCCGATCTTGGCACCATGGAGTGATCCATACCTCCTTCCCTCAACAACTCCAACATGACTGCCTTCAGCATACCCCTCCTGATATCCTTCACCATGAAACCTGTGAAGACAGATGGACAACTTTTTTATCAGCCGCTTTCATATCGAAGTCACACTGCGCACAAGCAACTCCCAGGAACAAAATCATGCTATATCACCTCCAAAATGCAACTATCCACATTCAGATACATAATATTGGTTTAAATTAAGATGCAATTACACATGCTGTGCACTTTCTAAACAAGTTTATAACAATTTGCCAAGAATAATGCACTCCACAATGCAGATCAGTACTTTCACCAGGATAACACTGCTAACTACAAGCTCATAACTCTGGTTCAAGTTTCTACATGGTGGAAGACCCCAGATCCAGCAGGTCAGTCACTCAGCAACAGTGAAGAGGATAATTTTGGCCAGAAAGTGCAGGTAGTGTGGTCGTGGTGGCACTGAAATGCCACAGAGTGCTGGTGGCGGGGCTCAGCTTCTACCCCTTGGCACTGAAAGGGCTCCACATGGAAATGCAGAACCAGGGGACTGGACTGATTTGATGATCTTGAAGGTCTTTTCCAACTTAGTTGATTCTACGATTCTAACTTCCCCATCCTTCTCCTTCCTCATCCCTTCCCTGGACTCATTATGGAATCATGGAATCAACCAGGTTGGAAAAGACCTTTAAAATCACCAAGCCCAACCTTTACACCAGGACTGCCAAGGCCACCACTAAACCATGGAACTAAGGGCCATGTCTGCACGGTTTGTGAACGCTTCCACGGACAGTGACTCCACCACTGCCCTGGGCAGCCTGTTCCAACGCCTGAACACCCTTTGGGGAAGAAATCGTTCCTAATCTCCATCTAAACCTTCCCTGGTGCAGCTTGAGGCCATTTCCTCTTGACCTGTCACTTCCTTGGGAGAAGAGACCAGCCACCTCCTGGCTCCAACCTCCTTTCAGGTAATGGTAGAGAGTGATAAGGTCCCCCGGGAGCCTTCTCCAAAGTAACCCCTGCCAGGTCCCTCAGTCGTTCCTCATCAGGCTTGTGCTACAGCCCCTTCACCAGCTCTGTTGCCCTTTTCTGGACCCACTCCAGCAACTAGCTGTCTTTCTTTTCTGGTAAACATGAGTTAAAAAATTAGAAGTAAAACACAGTCATTTCTTAGACACAGCAGTCTGACCACCCTTTGGGGAAGAAATTGTTCCTAATCTCCAGTCTAAACCTCCCCTGGCGCAGCTTGAGGCCATTTCCTCTTGTCCTGTCACTTGGGAGAAGAGACCAGACACCTCCTGGCTCCATCCTCCTCTCACGTAGGTGTAGACATCAGTAAGGTCCCCCCTCTTGTCCAGACTAAACCACACCAGGTCCCTCAGCCGTTCCCCATCACACTT